CTTTGTGTGAAAGCCTGACAGAGGGAAGAACTGACCAAGATCAATCTCTTTGGGAAGCAACTGTTTGTTTCTTTTCCTCTCTTTCCTTTTCAGCTTTCTTCTAGGGCCCTGACCTGTCTGGATGTAATAAAGATTTACCGTATTTTTCGGAGTATAAGACGCACCTTTTTCCCTCAAAAAAGAGGCTGAAAATCTGGGTGCGTCTTATACACTGAATACAGCATTTTTTTTTGCCTCCAGAAACTCTGTCCCTTCACCAAAATGGTCATGCAGAGCCTGTAGGAGGCTTTCAGACTGTTCCTGGAGACTGGGAAAAATGGGCTGTTTTTTGCTTGTTTTGAGAGGGCCCACACCCCAGGAGCACTCTGCAAGCCTCCTAAAGGCTATTCATGCCCTTTTTTTGAAAAAAAAACTAGGCCCTTTTTGTGAAAAACGGGCTATTTTGGGGAGGTCTGTGGAGTGCAAAAACTTTTTTTTTTTAATTTGCCTCTTCAAAATCTTGGTGCACCTTACACTCCGGTGCATTTTATACTCAGAAAAATACGGTAAATTTTTAAGTAAACCTGTGATGCTCATTATGGGAAACTAGCTTAGTCTTTAATTCATGCTTCTCCAATGCATCAAGCTGCAGAAGGAAAGGGGTATCACTTACCCTGATAAATCTAGAAAACTTTCTCTGGCATAAAATGGCTGGTGGTTCAGAGCTGGGTTGTTAGCGGTCCGCACCAATTCGGGTGAACCGGTAGTGGAAATTGTGACTGGGTTACTGAACCAATAGAGATGGCAGGCTCACTATGCCCCTGAACCAGCTCCCTGGTCACCGCAGCATGGGGTGTTTTTTTGTGTTGGTTTTTTTTTTTTGACATTTTTAATGTTCTGTGCTTGCACAGATCTATTTAAAGGCAACTGTGCATGCATGTGCAATGAACCGGCAGTAACCCTGGCAGAAACCCACCATTATGGTGGTCTATACTTAGCTCCATTGGTGGGATTCAAAGAATGTAATAACTGGTTTGCCCAGGGTCAGATTGGCCATCATGGGACGCGTGGCCCATCCCTTTCCTCCAGTTCCGCCACACATGTGGGATGAACCTCCTGCAATGGCCAACCTGACCCTGGGCAAACCGGTTGTTAAATTACCCCCCCCCCTCCGCTATCGAAGTGGATCCTGGGCGCTGCACTGCAATGGAGAAATGGGAAATGCAGCGGCTGGCACGAGGGAAGAAGGAGGATCAGGGAGAAGAGGGAAATCAGCCTTCTCCTTCCCTCGCATCGGCTGCTCCATTGCCCACTTCTCCATTGCAGCACAGTGCAGCACCCAGGATCCACTTTGATAGCTTGGGGAGTGGGGGGATGTAATTTAAGAACCAGTTCGCCTGAACTGGTGTGAACCGGATGAATTCCATCACTGCTTACCTCCCCAACAGCAGTTTAGGAAGGATACAGCAGTGTTACAGGAAGGAATCAGCAGGCTTTCACATATATCATGTGTACACTCCACCACAAACTTGTTATAACATGGAATATATCAAGTTATTTTCTGGCAGCTATGAGAGTCACAAGGGAAACTATGTCAGGATTTTCTCTGTTCATCAATTCTCTTTATCCTGCCTAATCAGAACAGAAGGCATAAGAATCTGCAGATATAACCACAATTATGGAATATATAGCTATGCATGCCTAAGGCCTAAAGCTACAAAGTTATTTCTGGGGAGAATCTGGAAATTGCTAATTCAAACGATGGAGAACAGCAAGAGGACATGTTGTTGTCTTGAGATCTGCAAGAAAATATTGCAGCATCTCTTGTAAAAAGGAGTGTCCGGATGAGGCTTTCTGCCACCAGATTCCTTTTAAGCAGTGCACTGCAGTCATTTTAACAGCCGGATATTTCTTTTCCAATGGACACTGATTCTTCCAGAATTACTGGGTCATTTTGTTTTCATAGGATTGTTTAAATAGCCCATGTTCTGGGACCTTTTTAAAGAATATTCTGTCTTTCTGTGTGGGTACTTTTGTTAGAGTTAAGCACTTATTATTTGAACTTCACATTATGGAATTCCATTACAGGCACATCTGGAGGAATTTAAGGCACCCCAGGGATGACTCAAAAGAGTCAAAATGTCAACCACGCACGTCATAATGCATATCGAAAAGGAAAGGGACATTGACCGCATGCTTGAGGCCATAATTTTGACGTTTTGATCCTTTCTCCCTGTGGACACTCCTACTCGACCACATTTCAGTGGGAGAAAGCCTTGGAAGGACACAAAAATTTGCAAAGGGAAGTGAAAAATATAATTTGGAAACAGAGTTGTATCTTGGGCTTGCTTCTAGTAAAGGTGAACATGAAAAAAAATCAAATGTAACTTTCTTTTACTTTGGAACTCTGTTTTCCATTTAGGGCCACAAAGCATATGTTCCCAAGTAATAAGGTAAGGGTAAAGGTTCCCCTCGCACATATGTGCTAGTCGTTCCTGACTCTAGGGGGTGGTGCTCATCTCCGTTTCAAAGCTGAAGAGCCAGCACTGTCTGAAGACATCTCCATGGTCATGTGGCCAGCATGACTTAACACTGAAGGAGCACAGAACACTGTTACCTTCCCACCAAAGGTGGTTCCTATTTTTCTACTTGCATTTTTTACATGCTTTTGAACTCCTAGGTTGGCAGAAGCTGGGACAAGTAATGGGAGCTCACTCTGTTATGTGGCGAAAGGGATTTGAACCGCCAAACTTTCTGATCGACAAGTTCATTGAGCCACCATGTCCCTCATCATTGCTGGGGGTGAAATCAAACATATCCATTCATCCAACTTCATGAGCAAAGTATTTATATTAAAAAAGGAGGTGGGATTAAAAACAAAGCAGATTGACATAGGTAGGAATATTAGATATAAATGAAGAAGAAAAGAAAATAGGACGGAAGCAGCACAAGAAAGTCTACTGCAGTGTTTTTCAAATATGGTAACTTTAAGATGTATGGATTTCAACTCCCATGTTGGTTACGGAATTCTGGGAGTTGAAGTCCATACAGCTTAAAGTTCTCACATTGGAATAACACTGATCTAATGCAGGGGTCTACTTTAGATCAGTAGATCTAAAGTAGACCCCTGCATTAGATCAGGGGTCTCCAAACTTGGCAACTTTAAAACTTGTGGACTTCAACTCCCAGAATTTCCCAGCTAGAATGGGGAATTCTGGAAGTTGAAGCCCACAAGTGTCAAAGTTGCCATGTTTGGAGACCCCTGATCTAAAGTAAAAGCTATGATTTCCTTTGTGACAAAGTAATTGGTTTCCATGGAGATTTTCCCAGGTTCGTCCTTTGATGCATCTGCAATCAGGTAGGATTCAATCAGTGGTAGGATTCAAATAATTTAACAACCGGTTCTCTGCCCTAATGACCAGATGGGTAGGCGGGGCTTGGTGGTCATGTGACTGGGTGGGCATGGCCAACTCAACGTCACTCAGGTCAATGGGCGCTTCGCCTTAGCTGTTACAATGTAATAAGGGTCAACCAGAGCGGCAGTTTCTGTAAGCAGGGCAATAAAGATTAGGCTGGAAACAACACCAGAATGTCTCCTTCCTGACTTGCTTAGAGGACTAGTCCTGTAGAGTGGAAAAAACCAAAAGGCAATTTCTTCCAACAACCGGTTCTTTGAACTGCTTAGAAAGTTAACAACCGGTTCTCTGCCCTAAGGACCATCTGGGTAGGCGGGGCTTGGTGGTCATGTGACTGGGTGGGCATGGCCAACTCAACGTCACTCAGGTCAAT